ATCTTATAAGATTCTTATATTCCTTCTTATAAGAATCTTATCAATAAATTACGCATTTCCATCGACTGCCTTATATAAGATTCTTATAAGATTTCTATAGAATTGCCGTAAGATCGGTCGACTAGGGAAAGCAGTTATTCTCTTTTCAACTTCGGCACAAGACGGAGTAAAGTACGCTCGCTTTGAAAGCTTTTCAAAAATTGGTGAGCTTTTTATCATGCTTGTTTCTTTCGTAGTCCTTGTTATTTCAAAGATTTGTTCGTTTTTCTGCCGGACTGGAAAGAGAATAACTCTGTTCTAATCAAGAATATGAAAAAAGCACAGTTGAGAGTAAAGCGAAATCATAATTGCGGAGTAAGAAGTATTAAAAGATTGTATAGATAGAGCAGGAGCGCCCAGGAGATTGTTGATTTTATTGCCCTCTTTCTGATTGCTGTTTTATATTGATGAGCCGGTATTTTAAAAGTGCTTTCGAAAGCATCTCGGCCATTTATAAATGACTCATAGTCCTCCTCGCTGCCTTCGAAAATAATTATATCTTCATATAGACGTCTGTTACGAAAAAAGTTACATGATAATAATTGTCTTCTACTGTGAGATCATCATCATCTGTTTGGAAAATAATTTGCTGTTCCATTTCGTTAAGATCAGTAATGAAAACAACACTGTGAAGAGCCATTGCAATCTAAAACTGAGAAAACGAGATTGTTTTTTAGAATACAAAGAAGAATTTCAGAATGATTTAGCCGTTGCCAATGTCTTTCGAAACTAAATGAAGCGTTTGGGGAAGGCTTACTTTTCCTGAATTCTGTCTATGTCGACCTACTGAATCAACATTATACTTGAGATCTGCATAGGAAAGACCTGTAACTATAATCCTGTTGTTCGCTTATTTTTTTCATTTGGTTCCGTACGCTCTACTTTTACGTCAACAGGTTAGTTGTTCCTTTGCACTAAAACCTATGTTTCACTCTTTATTTTCTTTTGCTGTCCTTTTTACATTACATGACTTAAAACATTGGACATCAAAACTTTAAAGTCGCTCATGAGCGTCAATATTTCAAGTCAGGTAAGACAAAAACAGAGCTAAGTCGCTAGCAGCAGTTTACCATCTCCTACTATGTAAACGCACTTAAAGACTTAACTCTTAATACCACAATCGGTCAACCATTTCTTTCAGATATTATTATGATAATAATATCTGAAAGAAACGATTGACCGATTCCATTCTTAGTATATATAATTACTCAAAATTCAACATACTCAACAAAGCTTCCTTCCAAATTTAAATCTGTCCTCCTGACACTACAACCAGAAGTGAAGGTTTTGACGGCGGCGATGAAGTTGATCCGGGTAAACCAATTTTTTTCATCAATGTCCAGACCTATCAAGAAGCAACTTTAGATATGACAAACAAAGCCTACAAACATTCAGAATGAAGATGATTTGCAATCGATTTTACTGCACAAAAAATAGTCCTGGTAAGTGATAAAAAAGGCTTTTCTAGCCTCTAATTTTTTCGATGACTTGGCATTAATATAGTAGTATTGTCCTTATTATAACTCGCGTAGTTTCATTTTATGTGAAGAGTTAGCCTAATTATGTCTCAGAGATCGGGCAGGACCGATCAGGTTCGCAGCATTGTTATTTTAAAAGAAATTGGGTTAATTTGGGGAGTAGTACAAAATGCTTTCTCTGTTGTTGCACGAAAAAGAACGATTAATAAACAGAACAGGAAAAATATCATTAATGGTACCGACGTTTGAGACAGAGTCAGATTTCCGGATACACAATCTCGGTTAGGGTAAAAACTGAAAGAGTGAATAGAGCGTCACCATGTACCACTAAAAACTTTTCTAAATGGTGATGATATTATACGAATTCTTGATATTACATCCCAATGAACAAGAGTCAAAACACGTTCAATATTCACAATGGGAACAATTAAAAATACCATACGAAAAAATTTATGAACCATAGGATATAGAAACGAGAGAACATATAAAACGGGATAGTATTGCGCAGATTAGCCAATCTGACTGCATCTTTTCATCACGAAAGTCATTTCAAAATCTTTTTCTAAAGTAGGTTTCTCAGAAGATCTTTGGAAAACTATGTCATAGTTCAAAAACTTGAAATAGAAATAGTTTGATTTTTTTTCCATGGATAGGTAGTCCAAAGTGTCCTCTTTAAAACGGGAGTTAAGCGAGACTCTCGTCTTTGATCGTTTAGGCCTGGCATCTGATTTTCTGGAGCCTCCACGACTGGACTTTTTTCACATGTTAGAGCCTCAGAAATGACTCTAGACAGCGGTTATCAATCATGCTGAATCTCATAACAACGTTTGTTTTTAGGAAGAGTTCTAAGATCTGCTAGAAACTGAGTTTTACAAAAACTGAGATTTCAACGTTGTTTTCACCTAATATTAAAAAATTTACAATTCACTCCAAGAACAGCAGGACGAGCATCAAGCTTCAGATTGTAGAGTATTTGGGCTATTCTACATCGTAGTTATAAGAAACCTAGAAAAACAGCTTTACCAAAGTCGATGATTTTATGATGGGATTTCTGGAAAACGTTTGAGCAAATGTTTGAGACTGTCTAGAGTCATTTCTGTGGTTCTGTACAATCGTATAGGATTGTTTTTGAAACTAACTATGAAATTGTAAGTTTCATAATGACTTATATTCAAAACCTAATACTCCTCTGTAATAAATATTCGTTTTATGGCAGACGTGTACTATTTTGTCTGTTTAAAGGATGTTAAATATAACTGATAACATTTGTTTTGTAAAGTGTATTGTTTTCTGATGCAAACTTCTGATGGCCACTAGAGAAGTCATATTTGGTACATAAGCAACAGATATCTCACGAGAGAATAAATTTAAGAATGGTGTGTAAGTACAATATCGGCTTAGATACAACGGATATCAAGACTATAATGCACTTTGGATCTTCAGACCTAAACAAACATATTTTAGTTCAAAATGGAGATTGGCGCAATAAATAACAAGCAAAAATAACAGATGAAACTCTGATAATCCAACATATTCAGTTTGTATAAGAAACCTTTTACTACGGTATTGAAAATAGGAAAGATACCCCATGTCTGCAGCCCTTTTTCTTGTTAGTTAGTTATACCCATTATCGTCACCGGTGTAAGATGAGAATCAAAACAAAAAATGAGTTCTTTCTTCGATTGTTTAATACACGATCGAACATTCCATCCACCAAATAGCACGTTAAATTGTGCATTAGCACAGTTGTTTTTCTTCTTTTCATTAGCAAGAAAAGTTTAATGTCCAAATCGAGAGGTTGCTAGCCTCAAGGTCAGACGGGTGGCTACTGGTAGCCCAGGGTCGCCTTCCCACTGTTTTAAAAAACAGTGAGCCCCTGTGTGAATTCGAAAATTCATCCGACAGGCTGTCTTTTTCTTGAAGCTAAATGGCGCGATTGACAAATGATAATCGGCGTTTTATTCGTAAGTGACATTATGACGAGAAACAGTAAACATTATCATGCGTTTCTCTATTCTATCTGGCTTCTTCCATCGTCTTTGTCCTATTTGTCATTCAATTTTGAAAAGTGGGAAACATGAACATTTGATTGTTAAGCGTGGTCTTAATTTTATTTTTGGCAATCTGTTTGGACTGTTCATTGTCTGGCAATTGATATATAATGCTGAACTCTATCGGACAACAGCTGAATTATTACTGTTGTTTTTCCTTATCCTATTACTATTAGGAATCGGCTATGCATTTAAGTAAGTGATTTGTTTATTGAATGATCATTTTTTAATATTGGGCTCCAGCTTTTTGGTGAAGTGTCTAATTTTCAACTGTTCTAGTCGACGAATGAGAGCCATTATTGTTTGTGTCTTTATTGAATTATTAAGTAATTCTGGTAAATTATATTTGATTACTTATACAATACGTCTAATCACAAACGGTCCGATTGCCAATATTCCTCAAAATAGTCGTGAATTATTAAACACATCAAAATGTTTATTCACAATAATGGCTAATGTTTCAACAGAATTTTTAAAAACAGCCATTGCACCTATAAGCAACATGATCATGGGGATATTTGTACAAAAAGCCAACTATCAACAAATATCAAGAACAGCTAAAATAACATATGATTTATTGAAAAAAGAAATTGAGGAAGGTGATACAGATATGACATCGTACGATGAATATGGTAATGAAACGGCGATCAATTCAGACTTTTTTGATTACAGGTATGTGAAAATCTTTCTCTTAACGAATGGTATTCATGGAATAACAATAATTATTTCTCCCTTTGTCAAACCTAAACTTATACTGTAAAGATAAAGAAGTATGTCCAGTCATTATCGCTTTCTGACATGTACGAGTCGAAAGTATTTCCGTCTATTATTTAGATTTAACAGCTTCAATTGAACAAGGACAATTACACTAGGCGAAGGATAGTTTTTGGTTGTTATTCGGGCAGCCAATTTCTGTACTTTATTGAGGATGACGAGATGAGATGTAAAAGCATTGTCATAAAGAACGGCACAGTAATTCAGTATACGCATAATGTATGTTTTATATATATGTAGACATAGCTAGAATTTTTCTCTTATGCGGCAACCAACGCCTGGCTATTTGCCTTTGGTGCTCTCAGATTGTCAGTAGTTTTCAATCTGGTTTTTCTGAATATACACATGTCTTCTTCTTTTTTTTAAATCAATAATGACAGTTTGGGATGGACATTGTGGAAGTTGAGGACTTTGATAGATCGTATACGTCGGAATTTCACGTTTAAATCATAAATAATCTACGCCGATAAGACTTTTATTTTTTTTAGTCAATTGAATAAAATTGATCTTGATTATAAATACGAACGTCCACTAACGCAAACGGAACAGAAACTAAGACAGGAAAAAATAAGTTTAAGCGATCATATTGATCAATTGTATACAAATATTAACATTAAACGATGTAACACAATATTGGAACGTGCCGTAATGGCTTGTCGCCAACGGGTTATAAAAGTTGAACGACGATGTTTAAGAGCGACAACAGGTGATACAAGCACGGGCATCGCTTTGAGAACAATATCATTCGCACCGGGTATTCAACTCATGTATTTGTTTACGGGTTTATCACACGATAAATTGTGGGAAAAAATATGTAACATGGTTTTTAGTACATTGAACAAGGTTTGTGAGGCAGTAAAAACGTTACCGTTCAAAGTAGGTGATTCTTCGATTTCAGCAATCTAGAGGTATATCAAGTTTTATAGCATACACTCTCAATTTAGACATTGGGTGTTGGAAAAGATTGTGATGAAACACTACGTCAACTATTACCTGGTATTGGTAATTACTATGTGGAAACAGAAACGAATTTAAAAAATTTAGTTGATGCATTTGATACACGCATATCGTATGATTATAAACATTTTTTACGAAATGAAACGACACTATTAAATGATCCACGAGCCGTGTTCTATGATGTCTTTGAGAGTCTTGAAGAAACTCAACGTTATGTATCATGGTCATGGTCATTGTTCAATCTAGTTCAAAATTATTTGGCGATATGGATATTTATTAAAGCATGGAAATATGTGAGATGTTATTTGATCGATATTACGTATGAAAATTATTTTATAACAAATGATTTTAGACTCATTGATTTGAAACGTCGAAAAAATCAACGACGCCATTTATTACCATTGAAAAAATTAGAAAAACAACGTTATATTGATCCATCATATCTTAAATTACAGGGTATACAATCAAAAAGAGTCTGTCATCAGTAAAGATTAGTTTCTCCTTTTTTGAAGGTGTTGAACGTGGTAAATTATTATCAGCGTTTACATTTAATTTCATTGTATTTTTCATTTTCATCATTCTTATTCTAATCGATTTGGTAATGGCTGATGTTGTTGACGCTGTACGTATGCACGGTAAAATTATTGTTCATCCAAAAGCTGAGCATAATTTGACAATATTGGTTAATGGCACCGGTTTTATGGCAAAATTTATTCGTACAATGTTTAAACATTTATATTCAAATCGGACTGTTGATCATAAAATTCTTATTGAACCATGTTTACCAAATGTTTATCGATTAAATACGTACTGGTATACACAAATTTCAATATTTAGTTTTTTAACTATTTTTCTAACGTTGACAAGTCAATATAATGAACGTTTACAACGGTTAACCATGTCATTCTTTTATCCAAGACGAGAAAGACAACGAACAATTTGGTTATATCGAAAAATGTTGAGAGAAAGAAGATTGTATAAACAGAAATTGATTAAAAGAGCACTCGAATATTGGATGAGAAACTTTTTATTAGGTAATAAAAACTGTATAAGACAAACATTTATCATACAAAGACAACAACTTTAAGAATATTCGTTTTAGAACGTTTGACGAAGTTTAGTGTCGGTAGATTGTGTAATGTAAACTATTGTGAAGATTGTTGGATAGATATTGAAGAAAAATGTTTAATTTGTGAATATGTTTATAGACGACAAGAATTGAATGAAATTATTGACAAACAACAGCAGCAAACAAATCAAAACTTTCAATTTTTTGATGAGAGTATGATTTTTGATGATATCGAGAATTCAATCTATCGACCATTTCCAACTCAAGTTGAATAAAAACTGTAGTTCAATCTTTTATTATTTCTCTTTTATGTTGTCTATCATTTGTTATATACTCATTAGAGCAAAAAGAGTTTTGTTAAAAATATCGTACAAAAACATAAACAAAACGGGCAATACTCTAAAAGTGCAAGAACATGTGCTCTGTGAAAGAAAATAATACTGAGGCCAGAATTTTATCGCAGCAATTCTATTTTTAGCCTGTCATTATGTATATAACGTTAATCATCTTTAGTTGCTTAAATTCTTCTCGTATCATCAAACATTGATTCAGAAATGTGATCATCTAATTTTAATTCATCATTTAAACGATTCATTCTGATTCTATACGTAAAATTAATAAAAAATATAAAACCTTTCTAGAAACCAGAGTATTTTCTGTTGGTTTTTTCAACATTTATTGAGCTTTACAGTTCCAGACAAAATAGAATATTTCCTGACATTCTGAAATAGATTGGATGGATTTTGACTGACGAGGGAACCTTTCGAGGTGATTAAAAGCTTTTTGATCGACATCTAGTGGGCTATAGGTTATCAACGATGCTGATTCCGAATATGATCATGGGACTGGCCCATGGCTCTTCGAAGATCCAGTCTTCTGGAAAACCAGTTTTTCAGAAATCCCAAAAAATAATCCAAGCCTTTCTTAATAATGCAGGATTGTAGCGCGCAAATTTCTGATTAAAATGATACATCCCCCAGCTCTACACGACTTTTCTTTGCAAAGTTATAGAATTTATAAGAAAAGCCCTAAATTAATTTTTTCCTTCTTATTTCTGTAGCTTT